GTTCTAGTTCAGTTCTAGTTCAGTTCTAGTTCAGTTCTAGTTCAGTTCTAGTTCAGTTCTAGTTCAGTTCTAGTTCAGTTCTAGTTCAGTTCTAGTTCAGTTCTAGTTCAGTTCTAGTTCAGTTCTAGTTCAGTTCTAGTTCAGTTCTAGTTCAGTTCTAGTTCAGTTCTAGTTCAGTTCTAGTTCAGTTCTAGTTCAGTTCTAGTTCAGTTCTAGTTCAGTTCTAGTTCAGTTCTAGTTCAGTTCTAGTGTCAGTTCTAGTTCAGTTCTAGTTCAGTTCTAGTTCAGTTCTAGTTCAGTTCTAGTTCAGTTCTAGTTCAGTTCTAGTTCAGTTCTAGTTCAGTTCTAGTTCAGTTCTAGTTCAGTTCTAGGTTCAGTTCTAGTTCAGTTCTAGTTCAGTTCTAGTTCAGTTCTAGTTCAGTTCTAGTTCAGTTCTAGTATTCCGTTCTAGTTCAGTTCTAGTTCAGTTCTAGTTCAGTTCTAGTTCAGTTCTAGTTCAGTTCTAGTTCAGTTCTAGTTCAGTTCTAGTTCAGTTCTAGTTCAGTTCTAGTTCAGTTCTAGTTCAGTTCTAGTTCAGTTCTAGTTCAGTTCAAGTTCAGTTCTAGTTCAGTTTTACTTCATTGTAGGTATTTTCTATTCCTCTCATATTTCCATCAAATTTTTTTTTTTTTTTTTTTTTTTGAATAAAAAAGTTTAATATTGTTGCTTTTGGATATTTATATTTCGATAATTTGTTTTTATTGTGTATATTCTAAAGATTTTAAAGTTTCTTGTTGTTTGTATCTGTTCTGAAACAATATTTTGTGTTACTCAGTTTTGCTGGGTGGTTTGAGGGCATAATTCTTCTTTCTCATTCCTATTATTTTTATGAAGCAAAGCTTTTTTAAATTTCTTGGTATGGAAAAAGCAACAATAGAAACAACAATACAATCTGCAATTATTTGTAGTTATTGTTGTATAAAATGAGCCTGTTACGAGGGTGACTTTCGTTAACATATATTTTTACCAGTGTTTAGTTTTTTCTCTAATTTACCCTCGTATATTTTTGTTATCCCTCAACTCATCTTTAGTAAGTATTTGAACGATCTTGGCTATTTTAACCACAACTTACTTTAATACTTTTTTCTATTGCTAGTGCTGCACCTTTATGCAACAACCTTTTGACTTCTCGTTTATGGGGTTTTCACCATGGAAACGTGTATCTAAAGTGCCATGGAGATGTACAAAACATCATCTTTCTATCTGCCATTTAACTTGTAGTTTAATATTCTCTTACCTTGCTGTTGGTTTCATTCTGTTTTTATTATTTTTCATTTTATGTTTTTTGGTATTTTTAATTTGTTAGCCAACATAAACAATTTGTGGTTTTCATTAAGTAATTTTTACAATTTGTTTTCTGTTATTTCACCCCCAAGTAAACCTATCTATATACCTATTGTATACCTACTACGTACATATTTACTATTACTTTTAAGTTTTCCGTTTTAATATTTTGCATAAAATTCTTTTTTTATTACATTCTTGTTTAAATTTTATGGCTGCTAAATACTATATGGTAGGAGAGCCGAAACTGGGCAATAAAATAAATATTTTATGAAAAATTATTTAGAGCAGAAATTGTAGAAAAATAATAAAACATACTAAGGCAAAAATACAAATTTAACTGCCATAGTATTTTAATCTCTTATTTCTTACGCTTATAAAAATGGTAAATTACTACAAAAGTTATAACTGCTGAAATAAGCAGGATAATAATTAAAGTAAACTCTTTTATATCAGTTCTGTTCTAGTTCCGTTCTAGTTCTATTCTAGTTCTGTTCTAGTTCTGTTCTAGTTCCGTTCTAGTTCTGTTTTAGTTCTGTTCTAGTTCTGTTCTAGTTCTGTTCTAGTTCTGTTCTAGTTTCTGTTCTAGTACAGTTCTAGTTCAGTTCTAGTTCTGTTCTGTTCTAGTTCTGTTCTAGTTCTGTTCTAGTTCTGTTCTAGTCTGTTCTAGTTCTGTTTAGTTCTGTTCTAGTTCTGTTCTAGTTCTGTTTCTAGTTCTGTTCTAGTTCTGTTCTAGTTCTTTCTAGTTCTGTTCTAGTTCTGTTCTAGTTCTGTTCTAGTTCTTGTTCTAGTTCTGTTCTAGTTCTTTTTCGTTCTAGTTCTGTTCTAGTTGTCTGTTCTAGTTCTGTTCTAGTCTGTTCTGTTCTAGTTCGTCTAGTTCTGTTCTAGTTCTGTTCTAGTTCTGTTCTAGTTCTGTTCTAGTTCTGTTCTAGTTCTGTTCTAGTTCTGTTCTAGTTCTGTTCTAGTTCTGTTCTAGTTCTGTTCTAGTTCTGTTCTAGTTCTAGTCTGTTCTAGTTCTAGTCTGTTCTAGTTCTGTTCTAGTTCTGTTCTAGTTCTGTTCTAGTTCTGTTTCTAGTTCTGTTCTAGTTCTGTTCTAGTTCTGTTCTAGTTCTGTTCTAGTTCTGTTCTAGTTCTGTTCTAGTTCTGTTTCTAGTTCTGTTCTAGTTCTGTTCTAGTTCTGTTTCTAGTTCTGTTTCTGTTCTGTTCTAGTTCTGTTCTAGTTCTGTTCTAGTTCTGTTCTAGTTCTGTTCTAGTTCTGTTCTAGTTCTGTTCTAGTTTCTGTTCTAGTTCTGTTCTAGTTCTGTTCTAGTTCTGTTCTAGTTCTGTTCTAGTCTGTTCTAGTTCTGTTCTAGTTCTGTTCTAGTTTCTGTTCTAGTTCTGTTCTAGTTCTGTTCTAGTTCTGTTCCTAGTTGTTCTAGTTTGTTCTAGTTCTGTTCTAGTTCTGTCTAGTTCTGTTCTAGTTCTGTTCTAGTTCTGTTCTAGTTCTGTTCTATCTGTTCTATTCTGTTCTAGTTCAGTTCTGTTCTAGTTCTGTTCTAGTTCTGTTCTAGTTCTGTTCTAGTTCTGTTCTAGTTCTGTTCTAGTTCATTCTAGTTCAGTTCTAGTTCTTTCTAGTTCTGTTCTATGTTCTGTTCTAGTTTCTGTTCTAGTTCTGTTCTAGTTCTGTTCTAGTTCGGTTCTAGTTCTGTTCTAGTTCTGTTCTAGTTCGGTTCTAGTTCTGTTCCAGTTCTGTTCTAGTTCTGTTCTAGTTCTGTTCTGTTCTGTTCTAGTTCTGTTCTAGTTCTGTTCTAGTTCTGTTCTAGTTCTGTCTAGTTTTCTAGTTATGTTTCTAGTTCCGTTCTAGTTCCGTTCTAGTTCCGTTCTAGTTCTGTTCTAGTTCTGTTCTAGTTCTGTTCTAGTTCTGTTCTAGTTCTGTTCTAGTTCTGTTCTAGTTCTGTTGTTCTAGTTCTGTTCTAGTTTCTGTTCTAGTTCTGTTCTAGTTCTGTTCTAGTTCTGTTATAGTTCTGTTCTAGTTCTGTTCTAGTTCTGTTCTAGTTCTGTTCTAGTTCTGTTCTAGTTCTGTTCTAGTTCTGTTCTAGTTCTGTTCTAGTTCTGTTCTAGTTCTGTTCTAGTTCTGTTCTAGTTCTGTTCTAGTTCTGTTCTAGTTCTGTTCTAGTTCTGTTCTAGTTCTGTTCTAGTTCTGTTCTAGTTCTGTTCTAGTTCTGTTCTAGTTCTAGTTCTGTTCTAGTCTGTTCTAGTTCTGTTCTAGTTCTGTTCTAGTTCTGTTCTAGTTCTGTTCTAGTTCTGTTCTAGTTCTGTTCTAGTTCTGTTCTAGTTCTGTTCTAGTTCTGTCTAGTTCTGTTCTAGTTCTGTTCTAGTTCTGTTCTAGTTCTGTTCTAGTTCTGTTCTAGTTCTGTCTAGTTCTGTTCTAGTTCTGTTCTAGTTCTGTTCTAGTTCTGTCCTAGTTCTGCTCTTGTTCTGCTCTAGTTCTGTTCTAGTTGTGGTTTAGTTTGATTTCTATCATAGATTGCACTTTTATATATTATTCTTCTCCCACTAATGAAGTAGTGCTACCTTTTCTTATATTCTATATCTCATTACATTCTTGAGATCTCAAAAAAATTATTTTCGTCTGGCTTGTGTCATGACTAAAATGATTAAATGTCAAAAAATAATTCTCTTCTTTTACGTTTTCTACGCGCCTTTAACTAACACAAAAGAAAAAGTGCAATGCTGTGCTTAAATCACAGATATCTTTTGAAAATAAACCCTCCCAAACAATAACATCATCATAATTTTATGGCAACTGCTAAACTTCTATGTATTTTTCGACACACAAAACAAAATCTACATAATAATGACTGAATATAGAATGGAGTGCATATAATAGTCTTAATATTTTCCTTAAAACCAGCAGTTTTTCCTTTAACCATTTTTTTTTTTTTTTTTTTGAATGGTGAAGAAAAACAATCTTTAGCTGTAACTGCCATAAATCCAAATTTAGTTTCTTTTCATTTCATTAAGTTTTCTCTTACAATTCATTTCAGTTTATTTTTCCACCTTAAGTTGTGGCATTTTTTGTGGTGGGTTTCGTTATAAATGTATATTTGAAAGACTAGTTTTGTTGGTTTTGCTGTGTAAAAGTAGTTAAATTCTTTATTTTTCTTAAGTTTTTTTTTTTTTGATTTTTTTCTGCGTATAAATTTGCATATGTTTTTTAGTATTTTTTTATTACGAGCAAAATCACTGCATAATTTATGAAAATTTTTTTAACGGAAAGAAAAAAAATGGAACACAAACAAACGTCTTTTCTTAACAGCTTAAAAAATGGAAGCATTTGTTATAATGAATTTTTAAAATTCTACAGAAATTGTATTAGAGTAATTGAAAGTGTAAAAAGATATTTAGAAATATTGTAAGAAAAAAGAAAAGAGATCAGTAGTTTGAGTATAGAAAAATATTAAGTAATCTTGCTAGAAGAATAAGAAAGGCTTAGAAGTTTGGTATAAGACATTTTGTTGAATGTTAGTTAAAAATAGTTATAGATTGAGAAATCGAAAATAGAATTTTAACAACTTTTACCTACATTTAGTGTAAAATTGTTGCTTAGTGGTGCGAAAGTGTGCTAAGAAAATTGCTTAGTTAGTTGTAGTAGTGCTTAAGTGCTGAAGTTGTGATGTTTAATTAAGATATTTAATTCATTCAGCCCTTAAAGGCTTAATTTTTAACCGGCGCCCTAACTTATGCCACACAATTTCTGCTATAAAAACCATTACACTCAAAACCATGCCCATAATCCATATAATCGCCAAACCAGCAAAATTTTTCATATCCAATTTAATGGGTCCCATATCCATATTAGTGTACATAGAGGCCTGTATCTGATTCTGTTCTTGGATATTCATATACTCGGCTGCTATTTTCCATTCCCAGAACTTATCTAAACCAGCAGAATGCCAGGCCAAAATAAAATCATTATACTTAGGTAAATGAGCCCATAAGCGTGACACCATGGCCACTGCAAAATTATTGTAAATATCATCCACCATAAGCTTAAGGCGTTCCAAAGATTCAGGCGTAATAAAGTCACCATTGCCAAAGTGGCCAAAAGTAGACGTTCCAATATAAAACCCATATATTCAGTTTGAGCTTTGGCACGCATTTCGTCCATACTATAAACAACAAAATTTTTGTACAGGCTGTGGTAGACAGTCTTCAAAGAAAATAACAATAATTAATAAATACGCAATAATCTACAAAAATAAATTCTACAAACATTATTATCATTCTTTATAGAAGCCACCCACATAGAAGAAGTAGCTGTCCAGGGTATACCTTGGGCATACATTCTCTCTACAGAATCCGGAGCCTCACCCAATCTTCGAAATATACACAAAATAATTAAATTAGCTTTAACCAAACTTAAGCTTACTTACGTGGGTACTGTAAGCGTAGCAGCCAAACCTCCTCCGTAAATGCTAGTAATTATAATATCTATCATATAACAAGCAAACAAAACCGTACGCACTGTATGCGAATTAACAATGTAGTCGGAACCTTGAGAGATAAATAGTTTCAATGAGGTTATATAACCAAATTGTATACATGACCACCAATTGTTCGCTTCGTTGTCGATAACAGTCAACTCAAATCGACGAGCTGTTAAAAGAGCCAAAGTTTCTAACAATAAACAAGCAAAAACACCAAACCAAAGAGTAAGATGAAAGGGTTTGAGAGGTAAAGACCAGCTGGTGAGTCGAGTGGGTGCCGGCACTAAGCAAGTAACACCGGAGCGTCCTATGAATGTGCTAAGGTCAACGGCAACATAGTCGGTGTACCTAAATGAAGATCTTTTAGCAAAATGTATTACAACTGAACTGGATCTAGAACTGAACTAGAACTGAACTAGAACTGAACCAGAACTGAACCAGAACTGAACTAGAACTGACTAGAACTGAACTAGAACTGAACTAGAACTGAACTAGAACTGAACTAGAACTGAACTAGAACTGAACTAGAACTAAACTAGAACTGAACTAGAACTGAACTAGAACTGAACTAAAACTGAACTAGAACTGAACTAGAACTGAACTAGAACTGAACTAGAACTGAACTAGAACTGAAATAGAACTGAACTAGAACTGAACTAGAACTGAACTAGAACTGAACTAGAACTGAACTAGAACTGAACTAGAACTGAACTAGAACTAAACTAGAACTGAACTAGAACTGAACTAGAACTGAACTAGAACTGAACTAGAACTGAACTAGAACTGAACTAGAACTGAACTACAACTGAACTAGAACTGAACTAGAACTGAACTAGAACTGAACTAGAACTGAACTAGAACTGAACTAAAACTGAACTAGAACTGAACTAGAACTGAACTAGAACTGAACTAGAACTGAACTAGAACTGAACTAGAACTGAACTAGAACTGAACTAGAACTGAACTAGAACTGAACTAGAACTGAACTAGAACTGAACTAGAACTGAACTAGAACTGAACTAGAACTGAACTAGAACTGAACTAGAACTGAACTAGAACTGAACTAGAACTGAACTAGAACTGAACTAGAACTGAACTAGAACTGAACTAGAACTGAACTAGAACTGAACTAGAACTGAACTAGAACTGAACTAGAACTGAACTAGAACTGAACTAGAACTGAACTAGAACTGAACTAGAACTGAACTAGAACTGAACTAGAACTGAACTAGAACTGAACTAGAACTGAACTAGAACTGAACTAGAACTGAACTAGAACTGAACTAGAACTGAACTAGAACTGAACTAGAACTGAACTAGAACTGAACTAGAACTGAACTAGAACTGAACTAGAACTGAACTAGAACTGAACTAGAACTGAACTAGAACTGAACTAGAACTGAACTAGAACTGAACTAGAACTGAACTAGAACTGAACTAGAACTGAACTAGAACTGAACTAGAACTGAACTAGAACTGAACTAGAACTGAACTAGAACTGAACTAGAACTGAACTAGAACTGAACTAGAAACTGAACTAGAACTGAACTAGAACTGAACTAGAACTGAACTAGAACTGAACTAGAACTGAACTGAACTGAACTAGAACTGAACTAGAACTGAACTAGAACTGAACTAGAACTAGAACTGAACTAGAACTGAACTAGAACTAGAACTGAACTAGAACTGAAGTAGAACTGAACTGTTCCTTCATAACCATTACCAGAAATACTGGCACCCACAGCCATATGAATATGATCATCCATAATCATACCAATCAAACCATAACCACTGTAATTGGCATATGAAGTGCCCCATTCACCTTTCTCAGCTTTAAATGCAAAAAAATACAATTAAATTGAATTAAAAACCAATATCTCTCCTCCACTTACATGTATCGAATTGCACAGTACAATTATACCACTCACAAAATTCGTGACAAATACGCACTTCCGTACCATCTACATGCACCAAATGTGAGGGATTATCTGCTGCATAATCATAGTACAGAGGCGAACGTTCGAAGTCTACAGCCACAAAAGGACGGTAATCAAATACACCCATTACAACTTCCCGACCTTGAAGATTTTGGAGTTTTTGTGATGAAAATAAATCCATGTCAGGCTGGAAAGTTCCAGTCAAAGCATTGAATTCAGATAGAAAAATCAATTCCTCAGGATGTTGCGATTTCAAGCCTACAAACTTATTGGTCTTAATATTAAAAGTAGAAGAGTTAAGACTTTTTGCTTCGATAAACAAAATAGATGGTTGTTCTGCAAAATTAAATATTGTTGTTATTTACATTTATAAAAGTTTTTGATATTTAACCAACTTTTAAACAATAGGTCTTCGAAATAATCCTCCTTTTGCTGATCTTTTGTAAAAGCAAATAAGAATCTAGAATAGGTAGAACGCCAAATAGAATACACGCTGGCTAAACGAAATGCCTCAGCAAAAAGTGGTATATCATCTTGAAATGCCAGAAAACCCTTAAAATTTGTTGTATTTTAAAGATTTAGATTTATTTTTATAATTTCTTTAGAAAAACTTACCTCACAATGACTATCCTCTAAAGCCCCAACTAACTTCTTTACCAAGTCGTTATAAAACAAACCATTGCTATTATCTTTCTGCTCTCTTATAGAGAAATTATAAATATCCTTATCAAAGGATTTATTTAAATTTTTGACATCGATTTGTAGTATTACAGTAGAGCTATTAGGGTGAGTTTCTAAAGTTAGGTCGAAATCTTTAGGCCATAAGATGCAGGTGGTGGTTAAGTTTGAAAAATATTTTTGTACTTAAAGTAAAAGATTTTAAAGTAATTTGTGTCACATTCCGAATTCTAAAACTATGAAAAAATCTTACATAAAATATTGATTAAAACTGACCAATAATTACCGTCCCTCGGCCACATTGTGCGTGGTTACATGCGTAAACTTTCTCGGATATTGAAATAAGTTCAACAATGTTTATAAAGTATATATCTTTTCTCGCAATAAGTTTGAAAGCATGTGTAGTTACTTAAAGTTATTTGCTATTTAGTTATTACATAAACAAATAAATTAAAAAATTCCTTCTTTAGAAAAATAAACGTTTAGCTGTTGCGTGTCTCTATTACTGTCTGTAGTAGTTTTTGCATATGCACTTTGCCTCTAATCTACTCCCTCAGACTCAATCCTATAGGTCAGTTTAAATTTAAAATATTTTGAATTTAACGTAATGGAGGCCACGGAAATATATTAATAATAGCCATTTGCAATGTTTCTAATAACTAAGTCAAAGCTAGAACAGAACTAGAAGAGAACTAGAACAGAACTAGAACAGAACTAGAACAGAACCAGACCAGAACAGAACTAGAACTGAACTAGAACAGAACTAGAACAGAACTAGAACAGAACTAGAACAGAACTAGAACAGAACTAGAACAGAACTAGAACAGAACTAGAACTGAACTAGAACTGAGCTAGAACAGAACTAGAACAGAACTAGAACAGAACTAGAACAGAACTAGAACTGAACTAGAACTGAGCTAGAACTGAACTAGAACAGAACTAGATCAGAACTAGAACAGAACTAGAACTAGAACAGAACTAAAAGAACTAGAACTAGAACTAGAACAGAACTAGAACAGAACTAGCACTAGAACAGAACTAGAACAGAACTAGAACACTAGCACTAGAACAGAACTAGAACAGAACTAGAACAGAACAGAACAGAACAGAACTAGAACAGAACTAGAACAGAACTAGAACAGAACAGAACTAGAACAGAACTAGCACTAGAACAGAACTAGAACAGAACTAGAACAGAACTAGAACAGAACTAGAACAGAACTAGAACAGAACTAGAACAGAACTAGAACAGAACTAGAACAGAACTAGAACAGAACTAGAACAGAACAGAACTAGAACAGAACTAGAACAGAACTAGAACAGAACTAGAACAGAACTAGAACAGAACTAGAACAGAACTAGAACAGAACTAGAACAGAACTAGAACAGAACTAGAACAGAACTAGAACAGAACTAGAACTGAAGTAGAACTGAACTAGAACAGAACTAGAACAGAACTAGAACAGAACTAGAACAGAACTAGAACAGAACTAGAACAGAACTAGACAGAACTAGAACAGACTAGAACAACTAGAACAGAACTAGAACAGAACTAGAACAAACTAGAACAAACTAGAACAGAACTAGAACAGAACTAGAATAGAACGAACAGAACTAGAACAGAACTAGAACAGAACTAGAACAGAACTAGAAGAGAACTAGAACAGAACTAGAACAGAACTAGAAACAGAACTAGAACAGAACTAGAACAGAACTAGAACAGAACTAGAACAGAACTAGAACAGAACTAGAACAGAACTAGAACAGAACTAGAACAGAACTAGAACAGAACTAGAACAGAACTAGAACAGAACTAGAACAGAACTAGAACAGAACTAGAACAGAACTAGAACAGAACTAGAACAGAACTAGAACAGAACTAGAACAGAACTAGAACAGAACTAGAACAGAACTAGAACAGAACTAGAACAGAACTAGAACAGAACTAGAACAGAACTAGAACAGAACTAGAACAGAACTAGAACAGAACTAGAACAGAACTAGAACAGAACTAGAACAGAACTAGAACAGAACTAGAACAGAACTAGAACAGAACTAGAACAGAACTAGAACAGAACTAGAACAGAACTAGAACAGAACTAGAACAGAACTAGAACAGAACTAGAACAGAACTAGAACAGAACTAGAACAGAACTAGAACAGAACTAGAACAGAACTAGAACAGAACTAGAACAGAACTAGAACAGAACTAGAACAGAACTAGAACAGAACTAGAACAGAACTAGAACAGAACTAGAACAGAACTAGAACAGAACTAGAACAGAACTAGAACAGAACTAGAACAGAACTAGAACAGAACTAGAACAGAACTAGAACAGAACTGGAACAGAACTAGAACAGAACTAGAACAGAACTAGAACAGAACTAGAACAGAACTAGAACAGAACTAGAACAGAACTAGAACAGAACTAGAACAGAACTAGAACAGAACTAGAACAGAACTAGAACAGAACTAGAACAGAACTAGAACAGAACTAGAACAGAACTAGAACAGAACTAGAACAGAACTAGAACAGAACTAGAACAGAACTAGAAAGAACTAGAACAGAACTAGAACAGAACTAGAACACAACTGGAACAGTACTATTTAGAACAAAACTTAAATAATGCTGAACTATGTCTGAAATATAAAGGTCCATTTCCCACCAATAATCGATTTTTTGAGAGAAAGGCAATTTTCTTATGAAACCAGAAAACTCTAGGGCTCTCTGAAAATATAAAAGTCGGTTTTGTAAAAACAGGAGGCCAAAAGGACGGAGCCTCCAAAAATCTAAAGTCCATTTTCTAGGGAAACTAGAAGACAAAAAGACGTGATCATTTTTATTTTTCACTAGAGACTTTTGGTAAAGGAGCGCGTTTATATATCTTTGAAATACCGAATCGATTTAGTCCTTACACTTTTATCTGTTGTATAAGTTTTCTTAATCTTAAACTTTGCAACTATAAGTTGCTTAACCCTGACTATTCTATATTTGTTAATAACTTTATTTATTATTAATAATAAATTATATTAATCATTGCGTGTTATATTTTATTTAAAATAAATTTTGCACTATATATGGCCTGATTTTTATATTCTTCACTTATTCTTTAAAATTTCTCTGAGCAAGATGTTACCAGCGGCTAACTATTGGCCAATTCTAATCAATATTTTGAGTAAGATTTGTTAATGTTAATTATGCTTCTGTATTTTTTCTATTTATTTCTAGTACAAAAATATTTGGCCCAATTGACCACCACCTGTATATTGTGGCATCCTGACTTTAAGGAAATTTTAGAGACCGACACCAACTATAATGTGTTATTGCAAATAAATCCCAAAAATCTAACGGAATCTTTTTCTAAGGATATTTATAATTTTACCCAACAGGATGAGTATTTCAGTGGCAATTTGGTTTATTATAATGATTTTGTAAAGAAGTATATAGCGGCCATTTCGAATACCTACTGTGAGGTGAAGAAATATACGAATTTTTAAACAAATGTTTTTTCTTTAAGAGTTTTCTGAAATTTTTATTCTAGGGCTATGTGGTATTTCAAGATCACATACCTTTGTTTGCGGAAAATTTTCGCAAAGCCAGTCTTTATTCAATATGGCGTTCTATGTACTCAAGATTTATTTTTGTGTATGTAAAGGACATACAGGAAGAGGATTATTTTCAGGACATTTTCTTTCAAAGTAAGTTGATCTAATAAAATTTATGTGCATATTGTAATTTCCAATTTTTATATAAGATCAAGCTAGTATTTTGGTAGTTGAGGCCGATTCTACGAACTCCTCTACTTTCTCATTAAAAACCAACAAATTTGTGGGCTCTCGTAGTCAACATCCAGAGGAATTATTTCTACTATCAACCTTTGATGCTTTGGAGCGTACTTTTTCACCCGATATAGATTTATTCTCAACCGAGAGACTTAAAGATCTACAAGGTCGTGAGATAATAATAGCCTCTCTTGATTATCGTCCCTTTGTGGCTGTAGATTATGAGCGAGAGCCTCTGTACTATGATCAAGCTGAAGATAATCCCAGTCATTTGGTGCATGTAGATGGTAGCGAGACCAGAGTCTGCCATACCTTCTGTGAGATTTACAATTGTACGGTGCAATTTGATACCTGTAAGTAATTTTGTGATATCAGTTAAAAATAACGAGGTCTGATAAAGCTTGATTTTAGCCGAAAAGGAAGAATGGGGTAGTTCTTATACCAATTTTACTGGCACGGTCTGCTAGGTCTGGTAATAGGCGGTAAAGTGGATATGACTTCGGGAGCCATGTATGCCTGGTATGTTTACAAAGTTACTTCCCAGTTAAGCCAATACATATTTACCTTTTATACTCTAACAGGAGCACCTATTACATGACCACTGATGTCACCCAGTTTCTGGTACGTTCTGGTGTCACTTGTTTAGTACCGGCTCCCAGGCGTATCGTTAGTTGGGATTTACCTTTGAAACCCTTCAAAATGACTCTATGGCTAGTCATTATGTCTGTATTGGTTTTAGAAAGTGTAAGTCTGCTATTGGCCAGACAATTCGAACAGAGTATGGAAAATCCCGAAAATCACCACAAATGGAAATCGAGTTATATGTTTGGTTTTATATCGGCCTTTAAACTATTTCTCAGTCAGGGCACGGATTATGTAGTGCAAGGTATTACCTTGAAGGTTATACTATTTGCCTGCTATTCGTTAGACATTATAATAACCAGTGTTTATGGTGGTGGTTTAGCCTCCATCTTAACCATGCCCATGTAAAGTAACTAAGCTTCACCTATATTTATGTATCAATAATTTTAAACAATTTCTAGTTTGGAAGAAGCTGCCGATTCGGTTAGAGAGAATGTATACTCATCATTTAAAGTGGGCGGCTACCTCCTATGTCTGGGTGGAGTCTTTAAAAGATGTGGATGATGATGTAATATATTAAATTTATACTTAAGTTATATATACCTACTAACAATGCATTCCTTTGCAGCCTATAATCATGGGCCTTTTAGCCAATTTTAAAACCTATAAATTTGAAGATGTACGCGAAATGGCTAAAACTGAGAATATGGGTTTTGCTGTGGAACGTTTGGCTTTCGGTCATTTTGGCAATTTTTGATTTTATAACACCCGAATCCCTGAATCGTCTTAAGCTCAGTGTTGATGATATTTACTTCGGCTATACTGTGGCCATGGTTACCCGTCTTTGGGCTCATTTACCCAAATACAATGATTTAGTATTGGCCTGGCATTCTTCGGGTTTCGATAAGATTTGGGAGTGGAAGATTACAGCTGAAT